TTTATTTACAATTTTGAAGCCCAATAGAGTCGTGTGTTTTAGAGAGTTTCTAAATAAAAACTTGGGTCTGATGTGTCATTTGATTTAACACCTGTCAGATTGTCTTGTGGTGCAGAGGAGTGTGTGGGAGGAAAAGAGGCTTGAGGTGACTTCACAGTCATTAAAAGCCTCATTCACACTCACACAGGTATGGACACGAGTGTGAATTTTAACACACACACACATTGCCCCGTAACGTCCTCACTTCGCTCTAGCTAGAAACAACCTTGAATGAGAACCAGGTGCACCTTGGGTACTGAGTCTCACCTGGTTGGATGTTATCCCGGATGATGGTCACATGATCGTCACGGTCAGGCCGCGTGTGCTCATGCCAGAAGCCAATGACGTGACCCAGTTCGTGCACCACGATCCCAAACTTGTCACAGTTCTTGCCTATGGAGATAGCCTGGGGCCCGTTGCCACGACGACCCACATAGGAACAACACCTAATAAGGATTAGTAGGAAGTTGATAGTAGGGAGATAGGCGGATGATTTTTACTACACATTTGGCAGTGGAAAAGGCTTCAGCAGTGCTGCATGAACACATACACACACACACACACACACACACACACACACAAACACACAGTCTTTTCAGGATTTCCTGCCACCGTACTACGTCCACCAGAGGAAAAGCAGCAGGATTTATTTACATACAACGCTCTGATAACGCTGCAGTTTTATAACCCCAACGCGAATAAGCTGTGAGAATTCACATATCGCTGCTCACAGAACACAAACACACACACTCATTCTCCTTTTCTGGTTAGCCGAGACATCCGTGCCAGGCTAACAAATCTGATTAAAGTTATCCAGTGAGCTGATTGGAGGGTGAGGATCAGGAGTCACTGGAGTAGATAGAGTCTTTTCTTCCAGCTTTTGCAGCTCTAGTATCAGTACAACTACTTCACCCACAACAGGTGCCAGACATGTACTCTGGTTCTAATAAAAACAATTACTTATTTATCTGCTTTTCTGTCACTGTCTATCACACATGCTGCACATCCAGGTTGCAGAGTATTTATACATCAGATTAAAGTGTCTAATCTCTGATGCAGCCAGCCTATCGTAGAACACAAGACGGCCGGCATCATCAGTTAACACGCAGATCTTTCATTAACCTCAATGGCATTCACATTAAAAATCAAATATATTTTAAAATTAACAAATAATATGATACAATACTTGAGAAGATGTTTTTCTACAAAACTCTTTTCACCATTTAAAAAAATAAACCAATATCCTCAAATGTTCAACACAAGAACCTAATCTGAAAAAATATAGTCTAAAATGGGCAAAATTGTTATTTAAATCAGGAACGAAAACAAATATGACAGTCGACGCTTTGGCATTTCAACACTTGGTTTTATCACGAGTTAGGCTGTATTGCAGAAAAGTGTATGCAACAAGACAAATAAAAATGATGCAGCTATAAAATATGACTTACTGTATTTGAATATTTCACTTAATATACAGTAAGTGTGACAACAAACAGATGCTGAATATTTGATGTTGTCAAGCATTGTGGAAACAACGACAGATTCAGTTCAATTCGATGATTTCTGATCCATTAAGACACTTGTGATGAATATGGACATAAGGATTCATTATATTATTAGACTACACCAAGTTTTCAATGTGCATTGCGCATTATTTCTTACAACATCTTTAAAGTGACCTCAATGATGATTAATATAATCAATATATATACATATTACATGTGCATATTCATCTAACTTTTTGATAATATTAGCAGTCTGCAGAAGTTCTACATAGTGTTTGCATCACTTTTTTACAACTCAATAGCTCAAAGGTTTTTAAATCACATATAAAAGAGGAAAAAAACATAATCCCCATATTTGATAATGATTTTAATTAATCGATAATCAGAATTACTGTTGGTTCATTTCTGCTAATCAACTAATAGACTTTCAGCAGTAATATATTCTGCAATTTCTCAAATATCTTACATATCCTGCTCTTTCAATCATGTGCACAACAGTCTGAAGAGATAAACCCAAGCGTCCTGATTTGAAATCTTACAACTTACAACCAGTCAGTGAAGTGCCACCACTGTACAAACACACTATGACCCCACCGTGCTGCCACTCGACAGAACAATGCACTTCTGCAGAGTATGAACAAAAAAACTGCACGAACATACAAAAACTTAGACTACGCAGTGTGATTGGTAGGATGGGGAAACAGGAGCAGGACAGGAAGGAAAGTGGAGCCATTGTTGAGTGACCGTATCGTCTCTCGCTGTGACAAGGTCACTACTGAACTCGAGGTACACACGCACACACTCACACATCATCACACATACGCAAAGAGATTCACCAGACTCACCCGCAGGGTCTGTAGGTAAACACGATGTAGCTTTCCTCATCTGTCTTCTCAATGAAAGTTACGCACGTCTGTTTCTCCCAGTGACGCATGGCCTGCTTAAACATGGCCCTCTGACTACCTGAAACACACACATTTCACATCCTACGTTTACACAATCACACGTCGGTGTGTATTTGACTGTTGAGCAGTGCAGGCAGCAGTCCAGTAGAGTTGCTTACCAGTGAAGTTTCCTCCTATGACGTAGGGAATAACTCCTCCAGGCCATATCCTCTCAGCTCGGGATGTGGCTGCTCGAGGAATACGACTCTTCACAACGTTCCCAGTCTTCCCACCTTTCCCAGTTTGGCTCTTGGGACTGGCAGCTCCCTTGCTGGAGTTCTTTGGGAGATAGTCTAACAGAGCGATGAGAGAGAAACAACAGTCAACTCTACCTTCACCACTGGTTCTTGTTCGTGTTATGTGTGTTCAAACAGAATAAATTGGTCTATTATTATGAATATCACTTCATAAATGTGCTCTGAGTTTATTGGATCACTCTATTTCTTATTATAAGTGACCTTTCAGAGTTTGTTCTCAGATTGGAGGGTAATAAAACTCAGACAGATATAGCTCTGCAATATACTGTCATATTAAACATTTAATTTAAAATGTATAATGTATACTGAATTAGTTGAGTTGTGGTAAAAAGAAAAAAATATAACTCAAACATTATGTAGTTCTGGATCTGATCTGCTTCTGTAGAGAAGAAGCTGTCGTACAACTTTTCCCACTTTTAAGGAGCATAAAGAAGTAAAGCAGTCTTGAACTGTCAAAGGTCTCAAAACACTTAAAAACTGACACATTTCAGCCTGTAGCCGTCAACAGGTATCTGACTTTCCCCCCTCAAAACAATCAGTCAAAACAGTCAAATGAACATTAAATGAAACATAAAAAGAATGAGGATGATTGAGGGCTGTATGTCCAACATTATAGTGGAAATTTTAAACCAAATCGGCTTCTGCCTGCATTGGCTCTATGCAGGATTCAATTGAGCCTGGGAGGGTTTATCACTGGCAAATGTACATTTGCAAATACTTAGAGTTTGTTTCTTGTCATTTGCAAGTGTCATAATGAGCCAAAGACCTACAAGCTGCAATACAAATACTGTAACATAGTAGCTTAATGTGAAGGCTGATGTGTCCCCCAGCAAATCCTTTTTTAATTTTGGTGTCTTTTTTTTATTGATACATTAAAAAATCAATGTCTTCCACCTTTAATTGCAGCTGAAATGCAGAGAAAGAAACAACCTTCTGTGCAGTACTGCTGCAATCAGGGCACTTCATCAATCAGTAACTATTCACTTCCATTGATTTCACTATGACGTGAAAATCATCTTGCAGAGACTTGAAACTTGCTTGAGATTGTCACGTATCACAGTGAAATGTTTGCATGGTTACAGTGGCCAGCAGCAAACGATCTCTTTGGTTGAGCATTCAAAGTTGACAGCTGGGTTTCAGAAGTGTTATCAAAACTTCAAGTCTTTGCAGCAAAGTTGTTTTTCATACTGTATGGACATAAATGAAAACCCATGGGACTCTGCAACATCTTGGACACCTTTTTAGGATGGTCTTTTGTAACAGGAATTATTGTGAAGTGTATTGTGAAATTAGTGTGAAGTAAAGCCTAGCGTCCTTACCAAAGCCAAACCTACGTATTCTCTCCAGCAGTAGATATAAAGATCCTCTCTTCTTAGCCACTTCATGTTCTTCCAGGCCACCTGACGCACACAAGAGCCAAGAATCAAAACACGAACAATGCACAATAAATGCTGATATCCTCAGGTGACCCCTGTCTATTTCCTTCCCATTGAGGCTGCTTTATTCTGCAGCCGATGGATGAGGAGAGAGTTTCAGAGGAAACATGGGAGAGAGCATTACATGATGATTACTGAGTGAGAGTGAGATGTTGAATCCACTTACCAGATGTGTGCCCCTGTCGGGAGTGTGTGTGCATGTGTGTGTGCTGTGTGAGGTCTATCGTCCTGTCAATCTGGAACATGCGCAGGTCCTCCTCATCTAAAGCGATGTCGCCCCAGAATACAGCTGGAAGTCAAGAGAAAAATATCTGCTGTAACCTTTATCAACAGTAGAATCAATTATGTCATCATCATACCTGGAAATTACAAGTTTATTATTTAAAGCTACATTTCTTGACCCAATTTGCATCAGATCTCGGGTTTTCTGTCCTCCTTTTTCCTCATCTTATTTTGAAAGTAAGTTCTTAACAGATCCAACAGCAACCAGTTTGTTAATTCATGAATGCTGCACTCTGGGTGGGAATCAGCCATGTTGGCTGGTTTGTTTTTGCTAGTGACTTAGATGTCCATGTGCGTGTGTGGTATCTCTCCAGAGTTAAGTTCACAACTTATAATTTATACATACTACTTGCAGGTCTTGTGCTGTAATATAAGAAAGACTTGCCACTGAGAAATTGTATGTTTTGTTTAGCTCTTTGAATGTAGTTTGTCATCAATACCATCCTTATAAAATGGAGATGAAGTGAACCAGGAATCAGAGGTTAACAAAGACGAAGTGACAGTCTTGTGAGCAGCACTTGCTCCTCCCTCATTACCACGGTGCTTGAGCAAGAGCTTTTAGCCCCAAATGATCCAGTGGAGCTCAACAAATCAGGCAGTGATGGTACTGCGGTAGCTTCTAGGTATGTATGTGAGTGTAACTGTGTGAGTGTGGAAAGGGCTCTCAGTGAAACTACCATGATTAAATATACGTCAAAAAAATTATATTCCTCATTAATCAGAGGTCATCCCAACCACAAGTCCACATGGGCTTAAGAAGAATTTCTAGGCCGTGGCTTTGGAAAAAAGTAGTGAACCCAAGACTGACCACTTTTCTTCAACATGCGGGTATTAAACCCAGTGGACCCAAACAAAATCTTATCCAGTTAATCTGATCTGGTCTTTTTCAGAAGGATGTCCTGTTATTTTTGTTGTTCAAGGCTGTTCGGGCTTAGATTTATTTGTACTTAAGTAAAGGTTCAAGTACAAACTCTTTTGACCCGCTAAGACCTCAAGTGCAGAGCTTTGGTTGAGTAAATACAATGTGCACTTCTACTGGGGAGTAGCAGTACAATCCTGGTACAACAAACCAGGAAGTAGCACAAATATCAAATACCACAATATATAGCCATTGCAGTCTGACTCACTGCAATTACACACCCGATACTACACTCAAATACGTAGAAACATGTAGAGAACAAAGGAGGGCTGGAGCACACTGATTGATTCACACAGCCTTTAATAGTGCAAACAGAGAAACGTTTCAACACTACTGTGTCTTCATCAGAGTCAAAATGGACAAAGATATGAGACAAACAACACATAGGGTTAACTTAAACCATTTCAGACACAAAGAGACACAAACATCCATCAAGTGTGCCAAACAAGGCAAATTCAGTTTTTGGTTAATTGCAAAAGGCTCCACTGTGTTTATGAAAGACAACATGTGTACAGTTAATGAATGATTTAATTGAGCATTTTTCACAGAGCAGAGCTGCTCGTCCCCTAATCGGAAGGTTG